CACACGGTCTCTTCACATCCATTTAACTGCAGATAACGTTGCTCCAGTGGGCTGATCAAGAAGCAGGGTAATGCTCCGAGGCACCACTCGGTCTCAAGTTACTCCATATTACTCAGAGTTGGCAATGCATTGGTACAAGGACAGTTAAGTTTACCCCAGGCATGCGCACTATAATTAACCTTAACCCTAGCTATGTGTAATATTTGGGTCTTTCGGTAGGTTCATAGAAAATAACCAAAAACTACGACGTTTCGAACGCAACACAAGCGTTCGAGTGCCACTCCCACGCCGATATTGTCACCGAATGCCATCTCGGCCTCTGTCATGGAGGCTCAGGCGCAGCGTGGCACTGCGGCCACTGCTGTGACCCGCCTCCTGATGCTAGGTGGGTGGTCTCTTTGTCGAAGCCTGACAGCACATCTCGCATTTGCTTTTACAGCTTTCATGCTCTTTCCTCTATTTTCTCACTATGCTGAAATTAATGGCATGCTACCCTATGGCGAATAGTATTTTTTAAAATATATGCAGTCTTATACTGTGTAGATTTCTTTGTTGCTATTTTATACTTTATTGATATTCATCATCAACAATTACAATCAATCTACTGCTGGATGAAGGCGTTCCCAAGCCGTCGTAAATTCACGATCTTACATTATAGTCAGTTTTTAATGGAAATGTTAAGATGTAAAAGCCACTTCTTTCACTTTGACAGATTAAATTATCTCTTATGAGACATACAGAAGCAGCATTCATGATACATATTTTCAAATTCTTCCTGCACTTAACTCACTTCTTTAGAACTGTTCTTTGTTTTTAGTTAAATACATACATGCATCCTTATTTCTGCAACCTCTTAACTTAATCTGAAAAATGTCCCACATCATTAATAATTATCCTATTTATAAATCGCATTTCATTAAGGATCTTAAAGTGCTGTACATGACACAGCAGATATTCAGCATGACAATAACTCATGCAACGAAAGAAAAAAGGGCAATATTATTAATTTAATGCTGAAATCCATTTGCTGAATTCGCGGCAAGTTGAATAAATGGAAGTGTGCGGATAAGATTTAAGACGAGTTTTAATCATGTTCAGACTCGGAGATCCTGAGAACTCGTGGAAGAGAGTTACAGATTCTGGGGACTACACGGGGATCAGCTTGGTCACCCATCGACCTAAGCCTCCACGTGGGAACACAGACATGATCTGAGCATTGGATATCTTCCTTTAAACCGTTTAGGATCTCACTGCCTGCTGCACGATCCTCTTTTTTTCTATGCTAGGCTGGTACCATCCATGCTGAGTGTGTTCCAGGTGTCTTCAGTAGCCCTTAGTCCTTCCCGGGGGTGCCAAAAGACGGCGTTTAATCATGCCGGTGAATGAATATGGCCTGCGCTGGGTACGCTCGTATGGATTTAAGGTTATGTAGTTGTACGTGCCGACGTAAAAATGTTGGTATTTATTCTTCAAGGTACCATGAGAACAGGGCTTTGTGCCGCATTAACGTCGCTCACACTTTGACACAAGGTCGCCACTGCTGCCGTGGCAACGGCTGGCATAGCGGGAAGCGTCTATGCGGCTCTGGAAAAATGCTAATGTCTCGTATAACATTAACAACACTGGGCGCTCTTTGCATAGCTGAAGCATTGAGCTCCGTGTTGAGAGCGCAGCAGTGTTGGACACAGCCTCAGATGCACTTTTTTATCTTGTGAATATAACCCTAATTTTTAAAAATACAAACATAAAATTGTTATGCTTGAAGCAAAAAAAAAATGCTGTACAGCACTTTGCATTAAATAGTTGGTTAAACTTCTGCGCAGATTATTCGTACCCTGATTTGGAGTACATTACTTTCGTGACAAAAGTCTATCATGAGAGACATCGTCATGGTAGCCAACAAAGTATTAAATCATGTAGTTACCATAGAAACATAATTTCTCAAGTAGTTTAAAATCCATTTGTATCTTGACACATAGGTTTTTGCAGCCAATATTATGATTAATAATAGATGTTTCGGCGAGCCCACGTAAAGATCTTGACCCTCCACAATTCAGAAAGGCAGACTTCCCGGATTTGTATTATGGCTGGCGAGATCTTCTCCTAGAGATCTTTGACATGGTTTCAAATGTATTGTCTAACATAATTGCTACATTTGGTTGTGAGAATTGTTGCGTTATACAACGCGACAATTGAATGTGTGTGCCCGTGTCTGGTGGTGGAGAGTCTAAGACAACAACATTTGGCCAAATCATTTTGGCCTTAACCCAACAATCAATGATAAATCTCCTTGTGTCCTTTGATAATCACTCAAAACACTTTTGTTTTATTACTATCAGCAGACACTTAACAAAGTGCATGTTTTTGTAAAGGTAGGAAGCCCTTGAGCTAAGCAATGAGGGTTTGAATATTACTCAATTGCCATTAAGCCATAACTAGTTCATTAGTTAATTTGTAACAAATATAATAACAGATACATTGGCTACTGCACGTTATAAATCCCCTTCTCCCTGCTCAGGATAGGTTAGATTTCAGTTGGCAGAATGGACGGCTGTTGTGAGTTTAAATCTTGGCCGATGTTTACTCAGCCCAACCATCATTGGGCTGATAGATCAGTGCCCAAGTGAGCACCGCTTGATGAATAGCCGACAGTGGATTTGTTATGAGGAGACTTATCATGTGCAATTTGCATCCAGCGCTGGCTCAAGGCCACCGACGGAGAAAGGCCACCACCCAATTCTCGTTCGACCTTGGGGGGCAAGGATTCCCCCCCCCCCCCCCCCACGTTCCCATGGTCATTTGCCCATGGGAACGTGGAAATGGTTGGGGCCCAGTTTTTAATGTGTGCTAGGGAATGTTAAAGTTTGGATTGAAAAAAAAAGTGGAAATGTCTTCATTGCAACTTGTGGAATGTCACTAAGGAACGCGTTGTAGCAATTTTTGCCAAAATCTTCATGTGGCATTTCGACTTGAAATTTGTTTTGTTTAAACAAAAATATTTTAATCAGGTACAACGAAATAATTACTTGTAATTACATATAAATGATCAAAATATAAAATGTTTTACAGCCCTTATTAAAGGTGGAGTATGAACCTATTCCTAGAGTGTAGCGAGTTTAATTAATTTTAGACGCAGCTACAAAATAACATACATGTCTGCCAGCGCCATTATATACCAATTTTGTGATATATAAACAAAACACAACATCTTTATACGTGCACTTGCATGGCCTTCGCCATTGACAACGAAGCGCTGAGGGCAGGCCCAGTGTGCTTGCTGTGTCACAAAAGGTTCATTGTTATCGCAGACCATTTATTTTTTCAGAAACCATTACACAAGGCACTGGCCATGCAATGCTTTTTTTCTGCACATTTGAAACACTGTCCCTATTCCAAACCTTTTTTTTTAAACCTGCTGAGATAAATGTTGATAAAGGTCAAGCGAGATACGCGAAAATAATAAATTGACCAGACACATGTTGCTAATAAAGCATAATTTTGTTTTACTTTTTCGCCTTGAAATGTATTCGGATTTAAATAAATACAATCGCTAAGCATTCACTATGTAACACAATTTTTGTTCCTGGTTACGAAGTGTAAATTTTTTTTATTGCTTACGCCTAAAAAGTATAGAAAATGGCTATTATTCCCTACAAACTTTGCTTTTGTGACCAGTACTTTATGTGAACGAAAGACACAAATGCACACGTTTTCTCATTGAAAATAGGTACATTTCAAAATATCACTGTCCTGGTCACAAAAGCAAAGTTTGTGGGGAATAATAGCCATTTTCTATACTTTTGAGGCATAAGCAATTAGGAAATAACACTTACTACCCAGGAACTACATTTTTATTTTGTTACAGTGTTATTAACGGAGTGGATTATTAACTTTGTTTTTGTGACCAGGACACAAAAGCAAAATTTGTGGGGAATAATAGCCATTTTCTGTACTTTTGAGGCATAAGCAATTAGGAAATAACACTTACTACCAAGGAACAATTTTTTTGTTACACAGCTAATTCTCTGCATGATCATCACATTTGTTTACCAATATAATTGCACGTTTCCAATGATCAATGGGTGCACAATTTGTTGACTTATATAATTGTTTCTGGACATGAAACATGGCAGTATACATCATGAAAACACTAAATTGCTTGTGAATCAGTCCATTAGAATAACAGTTGGGAGTGGTAGTCTAACAGTTAGCGCACTGCGTTACGAACCTGGCGACCTGAGTTCTGTTTCCGCTCCCAACACCAGTCACGATTATATGAGCCGGCCCTGGGCCTCCCCTATGTCGACTCAGCCTTAAATGAATACCTTTGTCTTCCACTGGGGAAACAAAAGCGCCTGGGGGTGGTGCTGGTCACTCACCCCTCTGTGCTGTGCTGGCCTTCATAGGTACGAGCGAACAACACTTTCCCTAACAGTATGTTAAGGCTATATGGGGGGATCTTTGTATTTGCCTTTGTTAGAATATCAACAGTTCAGGAGTTCATATTCTTGGTTCTTTCGGTAAAGTCATGTAGAAGGGAACACAATAAAATAATACAAATATAAAAAAAATATTGTTTCCCTTCTACGTGACTTTACCTAAAGAACCAAGAATATGAATCCCTGCAGTCACGAAAGCTTTAAATCAAAATTTTGTTCAGGAGTTGGTAAATACTTGAACAAATTGTAGTGAATTCTAGCTTATGTTGCCTCTTGTTTGGCACAAGCCACACGATTCTTAGTGTAATATATGGCAAGAGTCTTCAAGGCACAGCATTTGTAAATAAAACATGGCCATTCCAAAGTTGTAACCACGTGTCATGTATTATGCAATAGCTCTCTGATGGGGTTTTTTTGCGTTATGCCGTGTGTTCTTCGGTTCCTGACGAAGCTCAAGCAAGTGAAGCAAAACGTCAGACATCATGGCGACCAAAACGCGATCGAACTTAAAAGGACGTCGAAAGAGTAGCGCAATGGCAAAACAAAAACGTAGGCAAGCAGTACGTATCCATTTATTCAGTAATGTTTTATTTCCATAGCTATGCCAGTTTCCGTGTGTATCCTCCTGCTAGGCGTTGTCTATGTGCCGTCGTTTCGTGTTCCTCCCCCCCCAAATGGCACCGTCAACGCGAGCCGCATCTACAGTTAAGCATTCTGGCGAACATTCTCAAAATGACTGCACGAATTAACGTCGAAAACAGATGAGCAAGTCGAAACAGAACAGCCATCGTCCCCCCCCCCCCCCTCCACAGTGCAGATGAAATATATGGAGCAGCATTTATAAATTGATAAATCGCATCTGAAGGCGATGCATAGATGTTGAACTTCTTTCGCACCGTACGTAGTCAACCGTCCTAATCGGAGGTGCAACGCTATGTAAGCCCTGCCACTTTAAAACTGAAGGCTTTTAACAGATCTTTCAAGTCCTTGTATGTTGTGAATTATGTAAATAATACAATTGCACGTGATGTAAGGTGCAAGTAAAAAAAATTGTGGAGGAAGACACCTTCAAAATTAGATCACTCAGGTAAACACTTGTCACGCAGAAAATATCACATATATCCAACACAACATACGTTTTCAATGGCTTTTTGGTCTCACGGAAATCATATACGTACCCACAAAGGATTAAATTAGGTGCGGTCATGCTATTGCAACATTTAATAAGCAGACTGCAATTCACTGCGGTAGTGGCTGTTGGGCAATTGCATTTGATGACGACACATTCAACTTTGAAACCGTTCCTACGCTTTTGGTGCAAGACTTGCAAAATGCAGCATTGTGCTTTTGCAAACACTAGCACGGAGCTTGTTTTTAACATGGCCAACACTGTATTGCAAAGACGTTATTTGACAACTGTAAGATATTCAGAAGAGATATGTTGCTGTGAATAACTGTGGTATGTCACTGGAGTGGTATGGGGCGATACTAACGCACCATTATATTCGTAACAATGGGTTGTGCCAATAAAGGCATACACATAAATGTAGATGACATTGCGATATATATTTTTTTATATAAATAACAAAGTTATTTAAGACTTTTACAAAGAACGTTGGAAAGTTAGGCTAAAATATTTGGAAAAAAGTCATTTGCATGTTTACTGCCAAAATACATTGGAGAAAAAAACTTAAAAAGATACCAAAAATGTGTTTTATTGAACGTGGATCGTGTTTAAAATGAGAACAGAGAGAGTAGCACCCAGATCAGGGTATGCAAATTAGAGAGTCTAAGGAGAGTGGGCTTTGGCAGGGCACAATACTATAAAGGATAATAATGGCAGTCAAAAGAGAACGTGCTCAATAGTATGACAACTGTAGAGATGGAGCAATGGGATCAATCCATGGGCAGGAGATGGATGGTGGCAACAGAATATCGCCAGGGATGTTGACAGCATGGGCAGGCCTTCAATAAGCAGTGAATAGACAATGGATTATGATGATAAAATATAAAGCTCACATTTCTTAAAAATGACAAACTTTATTCACTAAATATTTCATGCGCAACAATTTCGAGCAAATGTACATCACTCGCTTCCTTAATAATATTAACACAGGCAATTGTAATGTATGAGTAGAAATGTCATGAGCATACTGTAAAAATGGTGAAGGAAACATTTAAATGCTACAAGTTATGTAGCACTTAAAACTGCATCATAGCTGACAGCAGTAGCCAAGACATGGTAAGAATGTTCATTGCATTCCCATAATTTGACTCGCATAAAAAACACCCAATGGATTGATCCATAAAAGGTTGCAAAACAAAAAGGTAACCTACATTATTCTACACCTTTGTAAAGCATGTGGACAAACTGTCTTCCATATTTCATTAAAATAAAATAGCCACATCAACCCAAGAGGCTAGTCACAATTAGGAATTTCCAGTGTTTTGTTATAGATCTCTTGCATGTGTGTGTGTGCAAATACCATTTATAGTCAAAGCAGGTAATACCACAGTAGCACAGTGAAACGATTGATGGCAAGATACATGTTTTAAACAGTTAAACTAAAACCTCATTATTGGACAAGCCTGACAACCAGGATAGATATTAATGTGATGCCAGTGCATGAACATTAGTGAAGGGAAGACGAGGCCATAAAATAGCCTCACTACGATAACATGATACAGGGGTGGCAACTCGAGTAATGCTGACAGCTGGAACTGTGCGTATGATGCCCAGTTTACCGCTTTACCGTGATGTTGTTCACTCAAGTGTTGCTGCGAAATCCTTTGCTGTGCAAGTTCGACATGTAGGGGACAGTGTAAATGATATGTGGCAGTAGGAGACAGAACAATGTGAAGCTTTCCAAGAAACAAATTTCATTCAACACAATTAACTACAGCATGCTTAAACGTCATTGTTTTCGATCTGTACTCATTTGTACAAACAATGTCAAGGTTTCTGCAGTATTAATTCGTTTAAACACCAATTATTTTTAATGAACACATTTCTCAAGGATTGGCATGCACCCGACTGTATATGTATAACAGCCTTTTTTTGTGCTTGTACAATCAATTGTTTCCTGCTAAGCTTAATTTTAAATATCAGCATGCAATAATTTTATTTAGACATTGTGTTATGTGAATTTAGAAAAAAAATGTCTAATACAAATTTTTAATCAACCCTATTTACAAGCATGGCTTAAAGGGTAACAAACATTTAAATATGAATTTGCAACAAAAAACATTGCCAGGATTTCATATCTGTAAACACGAATAAAATAAAAATCCCAAACACAATTCAAACTGGCAGGTTAACTCTGAAATTACTGGAACACGCATTTTTTGCCAGGTGAAGCAAAACTTGTAATTAAATAAATATATACACAATTGTTAATGAGAACACGCAGGCAGATGTATAGGCCAATAAGCTCAACATCAATTCCAACTAATACATCCAAACAAAAGTGTCACCTTAATCAGGGTTGCTCTGATAGCCTATTACCCACAATATTAGTGTACTATATATTTTTATGTTTGGGCAGCAAGGCTTGTACAACTACTACCACTTGTCAATTATGGGACTACATTCTGGGCAGCGGAGGGGAGTGCACCAAAAATGCATTGTTGTACTGTAGTTGTATGCGCCCTCATCTATGCTTCCCGCCCTTTGCCAACCCACATTGATCAGCATGGTGAAGCATGGCCAAATAACCTCCCATGACCCATACGGTGTGGTGGGAAGCACTCGAAAGAAAGTGGATAGACAAAAGGCTGTATATGTGTACAAAACGGTCAACACACTCCCTTTTAAAAAAAATGTTTAACACAGTAACATAAACACATTTTGGCTTGCAATGATTGTCTCTTTTAATGTATTTTTAGCACACAATGCCACAAGCGTAAATGTGCAGCAAGAAAACTAAATTATATATTTGTCATCACACGACGGCACATGAGTGAGGCAGCTGGAGTGATTGAGTCTCCTATCCATCCGTGGCCAGCAGCAACATGGCACCTAGGATGGCTACGTTTTGGCCGACAAGACGCAGCTGCAGCCAAAATTCCACTTTGCGCAGACTGTGCCAGTAGGACAGGTTCCCGTCGGTGAGCAGCGTGAGAATGGGCAGGAGGATGGCCAGTAGCTGGGCAGCACGTCGCACGTATTTCCCAGACAAGAAGGCCAGCGCCAGGACACCGTAGAGGAGAAAGAATGCCTGCAGCACCAGCTCACCACCAGCGATGTGTGCAAGGTAAGCTCCCTGGTCCTCCTTGCTGTACTGCAGCGAGTAGGCCTGAGTGAGAGCACGCGGGTTTCACGTGGGCAGGGTGAGAGTGATAGAGCAGAAGACAAATAATGCCAATGATTAAGTGTGGATTTTGGACTGTAACTAATGCATTGGGGAAACAAAAGCGATTTTAACAGTTACATTCACAGTTATGTGCACTTATGGACCAGTTGCATTCGTATGGCTTATGGTGTATTTCTGAATGAAGAATAACGTCAATAATTATGTAATGTTTAATAGCAACTACTAGATTAGTTAAAACACACATCTAAGCACGTGCAAAATTACACGTGGGAAATATATAGTAAATGTGAACAAGTTAGAACCAACAGTAGTACACTTGAGTGAGGTGACTGGTAATGGTGGCTGCTACAAGTGCGAGGATAATAATTTCACATAAAGAGGAGTAAATTGGCCAGGTTAAGAAATAACGTTTGAGACGAGGATGACAATAGTTAACACGAATGCAACAGCATTGCGAGGCACTCAACCATAATTATAGTGGAAAGAAACGAGGCAGATATGCAAACAACGGTGTATTTTTCACCAAAACTCTACATATCTGATTACAGACTTCAGATAAAAAATACTATGCGGGAATAGTTGGAAGTGCTCCAATGAAATAACACGATTAAGAAAATACTAAACATTTGCGACAGGGCAACTCCCACACCTCACTAAAGTTACGTAAGTAAAATGTACCTGTCAACATGGCTATATGTGTACATATTTTAACACAAACCTGTTTGCCATTGTGGTCAGTAAATTTATTGAAAAATGTAAGATAATTAGGAGCGTTTGCACAAATGATATCTGCAAATAAAGTCTGAGCACAGTGTAGTCCATTTATTTATTGTATCACCTTGCCACAGTAACGCACGACTGGAAGACGATTGCAAAATACACCTGCCACTGTCAGCAGCAGTCCAGCTGGTTCAGCGCAATCTCTAAGAGCTGAAACAGCCCTTTGTGTAACCTGATCTTGAACTGTAAAGCAGCTTCATCCATTAAACTCTTGTTGGCACACACCCTTATTCCTACAGTATTTCCTTGAGCCCCAAGCAAATTTATGCAAGTGTATTTAAATAGGAATGAATGTATCATTTAAAGATCACACATAGCGATATTTAACAAGAAACGTGTTCCTATACAAGAGTGTCGATACAAAAGGACAAGTGTTTATTGCAGTTTGGGGTCACTAACAAGTGCATCAGTTTTAACCGTGCCATTCCTGCGTACTCATAATAATGCACATTCATCTACAATGCATTGCCTGGTACTATGTATTGCCTGGTAACCAGGGCACACGTTCAGAGCTTTGCACCTGCCCTGTATTTTGTGGACAGATTTGCACTGGTCAGTCAACATATATGATAGATTTTTATTTAAAGCTTTCGTGACTGCAGTGATTCATATTCTTGGTTCTTTCGGTAAAGTCACGTTGAAGGGAAACAATAAAATAATAAAATACATAACGTGACTTTACCGAAAGAACCAAGAATATATATGATAGACCTTCGTAAGTTACCATAAAACTCCAGACAACTGGCTTATACATTAAATACAGGTTATCTGTTTGTTACTGCCTATCCTGTCCAATTTTAGCATAAATATAGGTTTAACCTCACTGGCAGACCAAATGGTTTGTGCGCCCACGATTCAATTGTATGTGGCTTGAGCTCCAAAAATATTACACTATGAACCGATGCAACATTACACCCCTCATGAAGACCTATGAGCTACCCCAGCCAGATTTCAAAGTGTTTCCATGGATAAAAGAGTTCAGCAGAAGCCAAGTAAATGTGAACTTATTTTCAATATGGAAGTAGGACAATTTTTTTGTATCTTTATATAAAAATGTAATTTATTTCATGACACCAATATAATGAAGACAATTGGGCAAGGCTAAGGTATCATACCATTTTTTTAGCAATGATAAAAATGGGTTGTGTAATAATACAATTTTTCTGAAAAAAATATCCATCAGTCAGATTTCAATCCAGATTGAGCATTTAATTATAGAAAAAGAGAAAAATGTTCCACTCAACAAGAGTATTCAGAATATATCATGACAAGGGAAATTATCTGAGAGTCCAATTCCATGAATAATTTAGCTGTTAACTGTCAAAAGATCCTTTATATAGACTTTACCTTTCAGGCATTCTCTGAACAATTAATGAACCCAGCCATAAATTTCAGATTTTGAACACTGAAATGGCTTCCCTGCAGTCAGATGAACACAGCGTTTTATATATATTTTCTTGGTGCAATCATGCACGTTCAAAGAATGTGACTTTCAAACGAACACAATTTTAAATGAATTTAAAGCATTACAAAATATAATACAATGTAGAGTCAAATATTTTCAAATGTACAAAGACACCTTAAATATGTAACTTCTCTAACACCCTGATGAAAGCTAGATCTCTATTTATAGTTATTTAATAGAACCTCAACTAAAGTGTCAAAGGTAACTTTGCCATCTATATACATGTAGCATTCCATTCATTATCTTCATGCTGAGAATAAATGTTTGTATGTTAAATTTACTTATTTATTCGGTGGTTGTACTGCAAATAAGGTTACATATTTGTTGACGCATCTAACATTAATTAGAGGTGAATGCTACATAAATGCACGGCATGGCACAACAGCAGTTGGCAACCACAGCCCACAATGCAAACATTGTGGATCCAGTGCAGTGATAAACAATATACTAGTGACATCCAACACAGAAATTACATTCCTTGCTCAGACTGCAGTCACCTTGGCCCTCTGCAAACCCCTGCTAACAATTTTACTTTACAGACCACTCATTTAAAATTGCAGCCATCTAGGGATCCAGAAACCTCTGGTTGAGAGCATCTGGTAAAGCCAAATTTTATCCATGATACAGGTTTTTTTTGGGTTAGATCATGCAAATTCTGGCTGTCGCCTGGTGAAGCTAGTTGTAATTATTGGCGAAACGTCGTACTCAGATTAAAAATGTTGTGGCTTGGCTCTCCAACACACCGGTGTGCTATGCGAGTAACGAATTTGCATGTTCTGTTTATGTGACAAACCTTACTAATTGGCTGTATCGGGTGGTGGCGGGTTTAATGACATTTATATATTTTATGCAATCTAACCCAAAAAAGCTGCATTATGGATATTGGTCGCGAAAGTCTACGTGTCAAATTTTATATTAGCAAGATTAAAATCTGTGCCGCTTATACAAGCTAATATTTAGAGTTGCAATGCATCGTACTGAACTGTATGCAACGTGTGCAAAGGGAAGTAACAGTGGTTTCGAAGCCACAGGTATGACTGAGCATGTCATGATGACTCAAGGGCTGTTTTGTGTATCAGATTACACGTGCACACCTGCACCACAATATGCACATTTGACATTTAAAGAAATCTTTTGTCCGATTTGTTGACCAGTGCCGCAAAAAAACATTTTCATACTGTATTATCCTACATCTATGTTCCCCTCCTTCAACCCATACTGACCAGCATGGTTTAAATATCATCGAATGACCTGCATGGCATGGGGAAGCCCTAACCCAGCAGTAGATTGACCAAAGACAGGTACATTTACATATACGGTAATTTGGCAATCATGTTTGAAAGAAAAAGTTAAGTTTAATGGTTCGGTAGATGGCACCTTAGCACATATAAACAATATCATCAGCTATCACAAAAATAAATAAAAATGAAGCTTATGACAGACCTGACAAACTGGTTGTCTTCCCACGGGCATGGCAACTCATTAGCTTGGAGCAATTTCACAACAAGCTACATAGGTTTCTCGTCTGACAACATGAACCACATAGCTGGAAATTACATAAGATATTAGACTACTGTACATATTATAGTACTGGTGGTAACTTTAAATGAAATAATATTTAAAACTGATGGTTGGTCGATAAATTGCATGTGATTATTAAATGCGTTTTCCCAGAGGACAGACCTTTTAAAGAAATCTCCACAGCTGGTAGCATTGGTTTAAACTTAACGGTCGTGTCAATGTTCGCATGTGCAAGATTCCCACCTGGCAGATGAGGTAGATACCAAGGAAGACTTGGCCTATCGTCTGGAGAGACCTGGCTCGGGCCTTTTGGCGGTAAGGCTCCCCAGCACCACTGGCCAGCACCAGGAAACCTCCCACTGACGCCACTGTCCGAGAGTACATCCTTACCTGTAATCCACAAGGCAAACACAACCTTTCCGTTTAATAACATCAAGTTCAACACACGCCGTGTGTATTCTGATGCAAGAGTCACTTACAATGTATACACTTTCTAAAATTCAAGTTTACATTAAAAAAATATGTATAACGAGGCTTTCTAGGTAATATGTTCTGCAATGAACATGTTGCAATAATAAATATGGATATTTATACACTGATTATATTGGTACACACCATCAATTTAATGAAAAACTGCACGAGGCTGACTAGGAAAAAAGTTCTGAGTTACTGTAATCAAGTTTGCATCATTCCAATCAACAGTGTTGGCTGTACATGAGCTTTAAATATATTTAAATCCATTGATAAATCATTGAGGCAAAAAAGTAAACACTTAATTTTGTGAATGTAAATAAATATCTGTGTAAAATTATTTACAGAGCAATTTCCTCCAAGCTTGACTGCCCGTTGTAAATTCAATTTCATCTTCCAATCTATGTGGTTATGGCATAAAGCAAGTTTGGTACCTCAACAGTATTAAGTGCATATCCATTCAATTAAGGATTTGAATAGTTATAGGGATACAGTACAGCAATCACTTCCTCTTTGTAGAACTAGCTGAAAGCCCATTGTGAGACAATGTATTTCACAATGTATACATGGATGCAAGGCTTAAGCCACTGTATGGAAATCCCAATTAATAAACAGGTGCTCCACATCTAGTTCAGAACACATTAGTCATGATCACAGTTGCCAGTGAGAGTTGGAATGCTTGACAGTTTGAATAGACGCGCAACTATATGGCAATGCTGTGGATTCTTACCAACAAAAAAAACCGTGGTAAAGGCGACTTTTAAAATCTTGACATAAGCAAGACGAGGACAAATTTAGTTGAGTGCTAGTGTCCTGGCTTATGCTTTACATGTTTAAAATGTTTAATGATAAAATACATTATTTTAATCAACAACCTAACCCAGTCACCACTACAAAGAGCTCTAACCGAATCTAGAAAAGTGAAATGGGTCCTCAAAAAGTTCATTTGGGAAAAGTAAGAGTTCTATACTGTTGTGTACATAGCATATGCGCAGTACACTTAAATGTGAAACAGTGATTTTTATATACAACTGTATGTGTGGCGAGTGTGATATGCTAACATATTTCCCCACCTTGAGCCACTCTCCATAGAGAACCTGCCCACTAATGTGGGCTGCATAGGCACTGAAGGCGATCTGCAGCGCAGCCCCCAATGCAAACCATCGCCGCTTCACTCCAAATGACATGAAGCTGGCACACAGCACAGCCACCCCCAGGTCCACATAGAGCAATGGCACTGTCAGATCTGGCTTCCTGATAAAGAAAACAGAAAACCATTGTTATTCCACGTGGTCAAATCGCTTTATTGTACACCAAGTGGATGATTAGTGCAGCTGCAATGGGACAGAACAGGTGCAAACCCTAACCCTAGCCATACTGAGTTTGGCTACCAATTGTGTTAAGGCGGTTAACCTACTTCATTTACTTAAATTCCCATTGAAATACATTATATACAATGAAGATGATTGCTTGTACACTCTTCAAACTTAAAATTTTGGGTAATGTCACCAGCATGCAATAGCCTACTTCTACAAATGCTTTCAAAGTTTAAAAGTACAATTTTAACACAATGACCTAAAAATCAGCCACCATAATTGATAACCAATTATTATTTTATTGTTTCCCTTCTACGTGACTTTACCAAAAGAACCAAGAATACATAAACAAGTCGTGTAAGATACCTACGTCAACATCCGTAGATTATGTATGCCTCCTATGCAAGTCTGATAATTCTGCAATGTCTCCAGAAAACTGAGGAAACCTTACAGATCTCAATTAAAGTCCTCGAGATTCGTAACATATGACCGATTGCTTTGCCAAAAATGCGTCCAATAACCTTTAAGGAATGCAATAACCCTGCATACCAAAATTACGTGTGGTTATAAGGGCTGATGACCAATGATCATGCGGAGTGACAGGCAAAATAAATGGACCTTCTAGAGAAGAGACGGGGTGATTAATCAGCCGGTTATACATCTCACGAGCGTTAAGATTTGGCTCAGACTTACGAAAGCCTTTGCTGTGGAGATTAACCACGAAGCCGTGACGCTGACACAAGATGGCAACGGGCGATACAATCGTGTTCGTCCCCATCGCTAGGGGAACAAAAGAGGATTGACTCCCGGTTGATCAACGAAAAGGGGGTCTCGGCAATCAGAGGTAAAAAAAACAACCCCTCTGATCCGAGCTGGCCACGTACAACCACCCACCAACCAACCAATCGCGAGCCGAGAGAGGGGGGGGGCGTGCCAAAGGACGCGCAGGCAGTCCATTCGGGCGTGGGCACTCGAAGCTCCATTAGGTACACTTTGCAAAAGCGCCTCGTGCGCTTATTAACACTATTAAATATTTCAGTTTTCAGTTTATTTATTTTGGTATAGCCCTGTGAGCCATTCGGCTCTTTTTTGTACAGCAAAAGGAAATCACATAGTTTTAAAGTGACTATGTGACTGTGGCTGTGCAAACAGAAAATCCATGAAAAAAACCAGCAAAATATTCCTGAAAAAAGCACCGTACCACCAATGCTGTGTGCAAAACATCCCAGTGGGATGCAAGTCAAACAACAACCACAAGAAAACTTAGATTAAGGCCATCAGTCTAACTCCGTACTACAACAAAACAAACATGTCCAAACCAAAAAAAGTTTTCCAAATCACCAAAAAATAAAGCCATAATTGCAACGTAACAGTGATAACAGGGACTGTGACCGAATTTTTACAATAAACTACGTAAATAACATGTAACACCAAATCCTAGAGCCATAGCTGGCTGCATGAGTCACTCCACAACAACTGGGGCAGCAGTCGGAGTATCATTTTTCAATGCACTTTTAAGATCAGCACGCTAAATCAAAATACAGATAATACTTTGCAGCGTCATCCGGAGCGAAACATTTTATTTTATTTTACGCCACTGAATAGCAGTGGCAGCTAGGGGTGTACAACTCCTCTAGAGCAGTTTTGAGAGGTCTCATTAGCAGCGATTCAAGTTGCAATGTATTGGCAATAGCGTTCCAGACTCTGGGGACATCAATGAGCAAAGGCCCTTCCCTCCAGTTTTTTTTTGTACGGCAATAGGGGAATGTGAATCTGGTAAATGAGCGAAGACCTGAGGTAAAATTTGTTCTTTGAAACAATACGGACGGGACGGCGCGCGGCGTTCAGGGCTTGGCGGCGGGTGGGGGGGGGGGCTCGTCTCGGGAGCTCCGCCCGCGTATATACCTCTTGCTGTCGGCGCGCTCGGCGAACAGCATGAGCATGCTGAAGCAGTTCCAGAAGGGGAAGCGCGTGAGCACGATGGCGCCGAACCGCATGAGGGCCGCGTTCACGCGCAGCCGCGTTAGCGCCGCCATCGCTGCTGCCGCCGCCGCCTCGAAAACCGGTGACGTAGGTCCGTGACGTCATCGCGCGCGCGCGAGCGTCCTCGGGTGGCCATGGCAACGCAAACGAAGCACGTGACGCACCCCCGCCCACACATACCCACCCCCCCTGCCAACAGCCCCGCCCCACCCCGTGTCCACCTCCAACATCCTCCACGTTTTATTCTTAGCTCTTTCGGTAAAGTCACGTTGAAGGGAAACAATAAAATAATAAAAAATATATAAAACAATAAAAATTCTCACGACGTTTCGACCATAACACAAACGGTCGTCATCAGGTGTGTCGGTTTGCATACATTTATTTATTTTCAACGGTGTATTTATTTATTTATAAAAACGTCAGCGCCACCCGCAGCGATTTGTCAGTTTATTTAGAAGGACTAGTCCATCTATGTTCTGAAAAGAGGAGGGGGGAGACGAAAAATTAATGTATGCTGTCTGAAAGCCACCGTAAGCGTGAACAATCAATTTAGACCTGAAATGGTTTCTAAAATCCTTCCAATGATTGCTAAGCCAGAATCCATCTTCTCGGTTTAAATTGTCTCAGTGCTTGTATATGTGGATAGCCTCACGAACGAATCTCATGGTAGCCAGATGGCTTACAAAGAACCTCTGTCTTGGAGAAATCCTCCACGTTTTGATTTAAAGCTTTCGTGACTGCAGGGATTCATATTGTTGGTTCTTTCGGTAAAGTCATCGCGTAGAAGGGAAACAATAAAAAAAGATAAAACAATAAAATTCTCACGACGTTTCGACTGCAACACGAGCAATCATCATCAGGTGATGTTTCGACTGCAACACGAGCAATCATCATCAGGTGATGTTTCGACTGCAACACAAGCAATCAGCAAGCAGCATGAGGATGGCTGCTTGCGTTGTGGCCGAAACGTCGTAAGAATTTTATTTTATTATGTTTAATTTTCATTATTTTATTATTTCCCTTCTGCGTGACTTTACCGAAAGAACCAAGAATAAGACCAACCTTTTAATCACAATGCCACAACCCAACATTGTACAATCCCACTCACTGCCCTATGTCTGATTATTTGCTAAGCTTATGTAGCTAAAGGCCAATTTTTTAAACTACCGTATAGTTAGGTGAAAGCTAGTTAGCGATGTGAAAGTTAGTTTAGACATTACTGTAGTACGTACATACAAATTTGTCTTGTAAATCAATGCAGAGGGATGCTTATTAACCTGGCAAGTTTGTCTGTCAAACCAACAGGTATGTAACCTGATTAATCCAAACCATTCAAAAGGTCTTGATATTGTTTTATATTTTCATTTTTTAAAATTATTTCCCTTCTACGTGACTTTACCGAAAGAACCATTACATTATGGTTACCATAATGTACAACGCCAGGCGGCAATATGCTCAGTAAACGTTAAACACTTTCTGGTAAAGTATCACTTGTGATTTTAAAAGAAAGAATGCTACATGTTTAAACAAGACCCTCATGATTTAAGTTACGGCAGGCATGCCCTAAAGGCAAACTGGCAGAGGTAGCCTTATACAAGATGTATAAAGAATTACAAGGTGAGATTATATACCTAATGCCCCAAGCAAGACATTGAATATCTATATACTGTAGTGAGCGCAACGTTTGAATCGCATTGCATTGCATTTTGCTTTTCAAACGTTTGTTGTGTTTGGCATACGCGATGTACTTTTACTCCAGTATCTTCTTTCCGTCTCAACAAGGACACAAACACGACTGTACTAAAGTGAATTTAAAGGTGACCCGATGCAAGCCCTCTAGAACCCCCGTTTCCCTCACTGCTATTCCACCCCCGGGTTTTTGAGTTGTCCATAGAGGACCTTGGCTGGGTTTCTGGAGTGGGGAATCGTGCACAGGGTGAGTGGTGGAGTAGCAGAAGTGATGAGTGGAAGGCGGATAAGCATATCGCATACGTGGATTATCCGAGAGAGTGGGAATGATCACATGCGAGGTTAAAGGAGAGTTTGAGGACTGTAACCACCAAAGTGAACATGACGCCAGACTCTATGATAGAGGAAAGTCATGACAATTCGGGCAAGGTGTCACTGGATGAGTAGGCAGAGGGCAGTTTCAGTTTCATTTATTTGGTATAGCCCTGTGAGCCATCGGGCTCTTGAATCGGGTGCAACCGTAACAAACAAAAAACAAAAACATGAACAAGAAAAACATCTTAAAGTGACTATGCACAAACAGAAAAATCCAGGAAAAAACAGCAAAAAATCTTCCAGAAAAAGCACCGTACACCAACGCTCTGTGCAAAAATCCCAGTGGGATGGCAAGTCAAATAACAACAACCACAAGACAACTTAGATTAAGGACAGGATGAGTGGATGAGTATATTTTGGGTCAGAATAATGTGAGTGTTGGTGTAGCTTCTAGGCATGTCGATAAAAAACATATTTAGTACTACAGTATATAGTAATAGTTAGCTGAAAAGACTACGTTGGCTATGATACACACAGTAAAAAAACAACCCTCAACATTCGTTCATAGCATATGCTAAGAAGAAGGGTTATTGTCCAAAACGTCGCCTATCACTGTATATATTTATTTATTTTAAGGCAGTTTCATTGGCGAATGTGTTTAGTATGTGTTATACATAATATAATGTATGTGATTGGTGTATGGGAATCCTGTAGATTCGACATGCCCGAAGACAAAAAAACTATTATTTTGAAAGGAATGGTGAACCTGAACTCACAATTCAATTAAATCGTGAAGGGGGGGGGGCGGCGTTCACAATGTGGCTGATTTGTTTTCACCAGCGCCCTCAAGAAAGTAAATCACAAACACACCATATTCTTTATTTGCAGCCAAATAAAAGGCAATTCCGCTCTTAAGAAGGCCCATTGCCCGGAACGTCGTCTATATAATTATCGTTTTTAAGCCAGTGTTATTGACGGACGTGTTGTATTTCTAGATTTAAAGCTTTCGTGACTGCAAGGATCCATACTCTTTGGTTCTATTCAGGTGAAGGCCGCTTGTGTTGTGGCCGAAACGTCGTGATTTTTGTTGTTTTATTTGTTACCTACGTGACTTTACCGAATAGAACCAAAGAGTATGGACGTGTTGTAGTTTGTGTTTATTTGTGATTGTGCGACACCGCCAAACGCAGTAACCACCAAATAATTAGTTAAATAATTAGTTTGGTGGGTTTTAAGTCGAGGAGCGAGGGTGCGGGGTCGTTGGATATTTTAAGTGGGTGGGGGAGTGGCTTAGGTTGGGGTGGGGGCGGAGTCTGCATACGAAGGGAGGCGGGGCGTGTGTGGCTGCGAGTGAAACAGCCAATCCCGAACGGCGCGGGGTTACCGGGAATTGGTGGGGTGGGGGGGGTGAAGGTGTCGGGGAGGGGGCTCCTGAAGGTGGTGTGGGGGAGGGGCGGGGTGAGATGCGCGTGACGTCACGCGCGGAGCGAGCCGCCTGTTGCTGCTCCGAGTGTGCGAGCTGTTCGTGGTGGTCGTGGTGGTGGTGGTGGCAGGGCTGCTGTGTCTCCCGCATTCGCTCTCGCGTCTCCCTCGCACACCGCTCGCCGAATCCACTTCTCTTACGGAGCAGTGGTCCATCACAGATTTGTGTGTGTGTGTTTTTTTTAATAGTTTTTTTTTTTTTAAACACGGACATCATCTCGAGGAGTCTTCTCCCCACCACACCAAACACCGCGGGTGTGTTGCGTTGAAGCCCCGCCGAAGTGAGCGTGGAGGAGCGTGGGATCCGCGTGGGATCCGCGTGTGCCGTGTGGGTCGCCGGCTCAGGTGCGTGCGTGCGTGCGGCAAGGTGGTCACCTCTTGTTGCGCAGGTGCCTCGCCACTAACCACGACGACCAGCAGCATCATCATCATCATCAGCATTTCTCCACTTGTCATTACGTGCGCACTGTAATCCCAGCGGCACCATCGCCGTCGACAGACACCCCAGTGGCTGCTTTCAAGAGCGCCGTGATTGTCTTGTGGCTTGGTGGCGGGGCTTGTGAGGGGGCGCATTCGGTGTTGGCTCGTTGGCATCGAGCTATTGGTTAGTAATGTAAATATTTGTTTACGTGGAAGGACAACGTGAGGATATGCGAGGGGGTGGCCTGTTGTCTGCGTGTATATTGCGTTAATATTTGGCACGACGACGCGAATGGGTCATTGTGTGGTTCGAGTTGATATTCTTTATGGCTTTAACGGTGCCACACCGGAGAGATGTGGAGGGGTCACCACTTGTTGCTGCTTGGGGTCGTTGGCAGCAAAGGGTGCAACGGTGGCTGGGAGATGTTAACCACCTCGCCTGGTATACAGGAGGTCGTGGGTTCGATCCCGACACTGACACCTGCTAGCTGCTGCTGCTGTATATTTGGAGTTTGCGTGTCTCTCTCCGTGTATCGTGTGGATTGTTCTCCGGGGTTTCCCTCCACTTTTAGAGAAACACGCGTTGAAGATTGTTTGGCTGCTATAAATATCCACAAAAGAGGCAGCTTCGTTGGGCTATCATTCGTGGAGAGGTCGCTTCTGAAAAAGAACGACATAGCTCAATGGGCCTTACCCGGTAACAATAAAAATACTGTAGTTTTAGCATTTCACGACGATGTGCTGCCGACCAATCCCAGCGACACTTACACCGACGACCAGCTTCAGCCTTTCCAGCATTAGAGTGTTGTTGGCTTACACAAATGCGGGGGACTATTGTTATGGAGTGGGCAATTATTGTGCACTGCTGTTGCCCCTGTGACCTGTTGTTGTTGTTCGGGTTAGCGATTATTGGGGGTGTTTGGGGCTGGTGGTCCAGATGTTGCTCACTTCGCTTTTGTTTATAGAGTCTTTAACTCCGATTAGCACGGTTGGCTACGTATGGTGCGAAAGAAGTTCAACATACGTACAACAAAATGCGTTTGTCCAACCAGCCCCCAAGAAGCGTGTGCGTTTGCCAGAAATGTGGTCACGATCCAAACGAAGTACCTGTTGTTAAAATAGGCAATTCAATTACGTTTGTAATTGTTATCAAAATTGCACGCTTCAAAGTAATTGGTCGTGTATATCCGCAGTAATCGTCGCCAGTAAATGATCATTTGAATGATTTTAGCCCGCGCCTCTGTTGCCGATCATTGGACTCACTTCGTGGCACCATTCCAGGATTTCTCGTTTTTAAGTTGTTTCATGGAAGGAACTCCTTTGTGTGGTAGCGTAGTTCTTAGCGCAACGATACCCCAACAATCCCGGCGGCCCGAGTTCTATATGCGACCATCGCGGACACAAGTGGCGATTATTCTGAACCAGTGCTGTTGGCCACCCTTAGGTTTACTCGGCCTTAAATGAGTACTGTATCTGAAGCGGTGTGTAAATGCCGCCGGCTGGGCGTTTCTGGTCACAACCACCCGCTCGTGCGCTGTTGCGGTCTGAGTGCTAACAGCATACCAGACCCCCGCCCCCCCCCCCCAACAGTATGTACGCTTGTATTGGGGGGTATTTATCCACGGGACTTCAATAGGTGCTCGCCAACAGTAACCCCCATTATTGTTTGTACGGCTGAACAGAGGGGATGTTTTGTCTTGATCCCTGCTGTGTTAGACCTGTCCGGATCTCGTGCCTGCCGTGTGACCTCTAACTTATGCATAATGAGGCGCCGTCGCGCTTGGTGGCATTTAATGTTTAGAGTTCGTGTGGCCCTTTGCGCCTTTGAATCCGTTCGGTATCTTCACGTAACATTTATTTTTAATACCGTCAGTCTATTAACTTTTCAGACCTACATCTGACAGCATCTGTTTTAATAAGCAATTTGTGAAACGGTGTTGACGGTCTTGGTCTTCTTTAGCAATCAGGCTGGATACATTTTTGCAGAGGCACGCTTGCTTTGGTGGTCTGATGTTGTACAGACCCAAGTATGTAAGCATATACTGCGTGTAATCATAATGACATTATAATTCACAGCTATTTGTCAATTCACTGCCGGATGAAGGCCTTCCAAAGCCGTGTTGGTCAGGGGGATTGTTTGACCATACTTCACCACGCTCGTCAGTACGGGCTGGTGAAGTGGGGAGCCAGGACCGGTTCAAAAATGACTCGCAACTCAAGTTAGTCATGGCCGGGAATTCAACGCAAATTGTCGGATTCATAGTGTTGACCACTGTGTCCATCGCTCCAGCCTTGTGCTGTGCGTACCTGTGCTTGTATACATACACACTTAAAAAAATATATATTTCACGTGCTTATCTTCTTTGGTGGCCTTGAGCCATTCGTTACCAATGTATCTACGATGGGAAACAATGTTTGTAGAAGTCCAGTAAGCACTGTACTGTACTGCCCCATACACCTGGATACCTGAGTTCGGTTCCTGGCCCGGCATAGGCAAACATTAGTTGACAAGTGATGTCTGAACCGAGTTTGGTGCCCAACCCGCACAAACCAGTGGGGTAAAGTATGGTCAAACAGCTCCCATTATCTGTATAGTTTAGGGAAAGCCTTAATATAGCAGTGATCTTTCAAAAGTTAATGCAACAAGGGATGTTGTGTTCACGTATCAGGATTGGTACGTACCGTAGTTTTAGAACAATATCTAAGTGTTGGTGAATGGAGACACGTGTGGATTAAAGAAACCAATCCACATAAGCTTCATTTGGCTCAATAATTAAACCTGGCACCTACCTATTGCATGCACATCCGATACCATAGAGTATACGGTACGATGTGTTGTGGATGTGCTGCCACGTAATCTTATTTGCGAGAGAATGTCGACTACATTTCTCAGATAAGTCACTATGCTGCAGTACATGCGCTGCTCATTTTGAAGGAGATAATGCTTGTATTTGAAATACTTGGCACGTTAGTCAGCCTTTTGGATTTAAACAGTTTTAGTTTTATGGCTGACGTGTTTTGATGGGCTGTTATGGCAAGTGCCCTAAAGGATTGTTGAGTGTAACCGGGACAAGTGAGTATCTACTGTTTATCAGCAAAGTGATGAGGTGTCTTTCCACTGCTCTTCTTTCCACACGCATGCTGACTTTTTCGTGCAAAGAAGTAAGCTTTTGAGCATTCTAAACAATTTTATGAAGCCCATGATTTACTTGAATATTCTTGGTGGATTATACAACAAGACCATATATCAAACCTTTTCCAATTTACCTATAATGAGTGACGTCACTACACATCGAACAGCCCCCCTCATTAATAATCATGAACAGGTGACATCCTCCAAATAGACACCCCCCACCATTAATAATAATTAGTGGGTGACCTCACTCCACATGGGGGGGGGAGGCCGAGGCGCCTCCTCCCCCCTCCTCGGCGTCAACTGACAACCCTCACTACAAAGGCAGAACCCTCACGTCACGTGATCTCCTAAACGCTATTGAGACATAGAAGTAAAAAGGACGTCATGATGAACAAGGAATTATAACCTTTAAATGAAATAAGTCTGTGTCACCGTGGCCTTACAAATTGCACACAAATTGATGCAATAAATATATCACATCGCGGTCTGCTTTTCGCTTGCAAATTTCAGATTTACTGCAATACACCCAACCTTGGACGGGCAAAAGGCTCGTATTTTTATATAGTTTTCCAGTTTTTATGTATTGTATTTATTGTATTATTTAACGATGTGAGCCCTATAAAGTTGTTGTATGTTGTGCAAAGGGAAATGTGTATTTTAATAAATTAAAACATTCATGCTTCTATAAAGAAAGCTACGGTAAATTTTAACGTTTAATTCCAAACAAAATGCAGAAAGACCCTAAATCAAAATACAATGCTTTTGTTATTCTAATTTACACGTTAAACACCACTTACCAGAATACAGTAAATATCTACATGATTAGAAACTGTTGGATTCAGTCTGAGTTACAACACTTGAGTATTCTTTGTCATGCAGAGTTAATTAATTACTCATTCTGATCAGAAGGACCTGTGATTTTGACGCTGACCTATGTACATCGTTGATTGAGGGTAAAATCAAAGAAAGCTTCAGGTCACTCATCCCTTGCAGTTTTATTGCAGATTCTAAATTTACTTCAGTGGGATGGGGCGATTCCACCTTGATGTTTTATAATTCCTTTTATGCAAATTTAATTGTGCATACATACTAGATAAAAATCAAGATCGAATCAAGATAGATACGTGAACTATAATTTATTGCAAAATGCCACAAATTAGATTTCTCTTGAGTGTTGAGGACTGGATTACATTTGCGGACTTTTCTCCCACAGTGACATGAGATCCTGGTGCTGACATGGCAGCCAACAGAATCCGTGCTGCAACCGGTGGAGGCTTGCCCAGGTGCAAGTCAGAGGGGACTCTTATTGACCTGGAAGATCATCCATCGGAGCCAAATTTCCATGATTTAGATGGTGAGTAAAATTTTTACACACCCTTATCACATTCCATTTTAGCTGTGCTGTCGTGCGCTCACGAATTCTTCACTTCTCTTGTGCCAAGGTGTCAAATGTGATAATATGCACAACCGCTGCTCAGAGCCAAAAAATGTGTTTGAGAATAGAGGAAAGTGGATTCATTGAAAGTTCACGTTTGCGTGTATAACAACATTCTTAAGAAAGCCGAATGTATTTTCTCACTGCAAAGCAGTACGGTGTTATTATTTTATTTTCATATGTTATTTCTTTTATTGAGTATATCATGAAAACTGATTTTTGCATCATATTTTTCATATTGTAAATATTGGAGTGTACACAGTGTACATCCGTATACACATCATCTTACGTTAGATAATTTGTCATTTGTGTTTTTTAGTTAAAATAGTTCACTTGACAATAAGCAAAACGTAGAACCCCATGTGTATTTTCAAAGTTGTTTACATTGGTACATATGCGTGCTGAAATTTGTTCACAGGACACTTTGTCATCTCGTATTATATTTCTAATAACATTGGTTACAGTTTAGATCTAGCTTTTAATTGTGTACTAGCACTGTTATAAAATAACAATACCGCAGTTGCCATTTGCTGTGCTGAATTAATTTCACGTTGGTAACTATCTGCAAGTGAATTGTTTTGTAATCTCTCTTTGTAGTGCCTTCTCCAAACGGCTTGCTTGACAAGGGCTCCCTTACAATGGAAAACGCCCACGAGGTCGTGGCCATCAAGGACTACTGTCCCAATAGCTTCACCACACTGAAGTTCTCCAAAGGCGAAAGACTCTACGTGATGGACAACTCTCGGTCTGAATGGTGGTATGCTCACAACAACAAGGAGATGGGTTATATACCGGCCTCCTACGTGCGACCTGTTGGCTCTTTGACCAGCACCTACAGTGATAGTGGCATGGTGGATCACATTCCCGAGAGTAATGGCTACAAGCAGGAAATGGATTTGCTCAGCGGTTGGCCAGAAATCATTGGCAAGCAGACTAATTTGGTCGCTGTTAATGGCAATCCTTTTCGGCCAAACCTATCCGCTTCTAATCCTTTCCTTAACGATATATCTCTGATGTCCACCGGCGCAGATGAAGTGCAAAAACCAATATTGTCAACTAACTGGTTTATGTCCGATGCTATAAAACCCAGCAGCAGTATAAAACACAACAATAAATCCGCAACAGACTTAGATCTGGACTTCTTTGAGCGCCCAGTTACTCGAGGCAACCCATTCACAAGCAGCAAAAATCGTTGCTACAGTATGTCTGAACTGTCAGTGTTGCAGGAGCAGGCACAACCAAGTAAAACTAACCAGATGAATTTCACGTCGACTTTTAAATCTATGGACATTGAGAGCTTTAAAAATGACAGAGATGCATTCAGAACCGCTTGGTTAAACCGACGGAAGCTGGCACGCTCGTGCCATGATTTGGGTGCCCTCGAGCAAAGTCCCGGGTGGGGACAGACACAACCCGTAGAGACACATATGATTTGTAGGCTGGACAGCTCTGGGGGGGTCGTTCAATTGCCAGACACGGACATTGTTCTTCACATCCCTGAAGGCCACGTAGATGTTGGAGAAGACCAAGAGGTCTCTGTGAAAGCATTGCTTGAGCCTCCCTTGGAGCTGAACAGTGACAGATGTACCACGATCAGTCCGCTCATCGAAATACGCCTCGGTAATCTGGACGTGCATAAATTCTTTACGCTAGAGATGAGTGTCGATACAGAAATAAAAGACGAAGCTGCCAAAATAGTTTGCATGAGGAGTTCACTTAAAGATAGCTCTTACATAAAGATCCCAACTACTTACAAGTATGGCAACACCATTCAAGTCCAGTTAGAAGACCTGGGACCATGCACCTATGTTGTGGCTGTAGCTCAAGCCTCAAGTCTGAAACATCCATCCACCATTTGGGACTGTATAACCAAACATCTCACTGTTGGTGTGTACGGCCCACGGCACATTCACCCTTCATTCACGACTGTTGTGGCCATGTTTGGTCACAATAGTGCACCAAAATCTCTCACGCTGAATGAAATCACCAAAGGGAAAATCACTGGCCTTCCATTGGCGTTGCAGCTCTGGGGCAAATATACATTTTCAGTAGATAAACCTCAAGATGTAAGCTTTTGCCTCTTCTCAAATGATGCCAACTTTGAAGTCAAGCGATCTGGCCAGAACAGTTTGGTTCGAGGCTTCCAGATGAAGCTGGGTATGGTGAGCCGTATTCCATTCTCTGTCAATGTTATAAATGAGGAAGACATGCAAGAGTTCACCCTATGTGTCCAATTTAAGGATGACAAAGAGACACTCTTGTCTCAGTTTTGCATACAAACACCTCAAGTCGCACCAAAACCCGCAATAAAAACGGGCCAAAGGAGGTTCCTGAAGAAGAAAGAAGTGGGTAAAATCGTGCTGTCCCCGACTGCCATCACCGCCAAATACCCAACATTCCAGGATAGACAAGTGCCGAACCTAAAGTACGCCATAGCCACCAAGACCGTGACCCGGCAGCAAAAACATCCGTATCTGCTCGAGTACAAGAAGGGGGACATGATGGTGTTGCTGAGTGAGGAAAGGGTGCGCGTGCGTGGGCAGATTCGCAACAAAGACTGGTTTGTGGGTTTCTACGATGGCAAGCTGGGTCTCGTCCACTGCCGGAACGTGCTGCAGCTTGACAAAGACCGCTCGGGGCTCGCACCTGGGCCGAAGCTTACCACAGCAGTGCTGCTCGAACAGATGCTTCAGCCGTGCAAATACCTGACCTACGTGTACTCCTCGGTGCGTACCCAACTAATGGAGAACATTGGGAGCTGGAGAACATTTGCAGATTCCTTGGGATATGCTGGGGTACCACTGAGCGAGTTCTGTCGGGTGGAAGTGGAAAATGAAGCGGAGAAGGTGGCGTGTGTGCTCGAGAAACTCAAGGAGGACTGTAACTGCACCTTGCAGGCCAAGAAAAAGAAGTCTTTTCAGAAGGAGCTATTCACGGTAAGTTATTTGTGCCTGTTGTAAAATCTCCCGGCTAAATGTTTCGGAATGCTTGCAATAATTTTATTTAGTTCCCACCTGCCTTCTCTAAGAGACGTTGGGACTGAATGAGATCTCTCCACTTGTTCCAGGTCTTGTGCCAGCTTTATGACTTCCTTTACTTGTAGCCCTTTTTGTTAAAAATAAATTTTTGCCGCGTTCATTCAGAGAAAATGTGTTGTTTCTCTTTCACATTCCCTGTTATATGTCATCTAGAATGATGGGTTATTTTCCTTTTGTGCATTGTGACATGCTGCATTGTTATTAAGTTGAGAACATAATTCAACCTGTGTAACCACACACTATTACCATCTATTTTCTTGGTTCTTAGGGTTGGTTCTTTCGGTTGTTTCCCTTCTACGTGACTTTACCGAAAGAACCAAGAATATGAATCCCTGCAGTCACGAAAGCTTTAAATCAAAATATTACCATCTACTTAATGAAATAGTTGAACGTGCTCATGAACCAATGAAACGTGTATACATTAATATTAATCACCTAATCACTTCTTTGCAAAGTCAGTTTGTCTAGTAGAAAGATTCCATATTTTTGCTATGAACACCCATCAGTGGTTTATGTATATTGTTAACAAAATGAACTAAAGTTTTCCTTAGGTTAAACCTGTAATGTAAATGATAGGTACATTATTCACTTTAGAAACGGTAAATAGCAAGACTACATAAAATGTCATAGTACAACTTTAAATTAATAATATGTGGGTTTACAAATGTTAATGCTTCAAAAAATTGCAATTAAAGTTAAAAAAGTAATAACGCTTACTGCCAAAACACTCCGGGTACCTTCCATATTAAAGGCTAAATCATGTGGAATGCCTTGCCAAAGAACATTTTCCAAATTTTTACTGCAATCTCCATGACATCCATGCTAGAGTGATTTAAAATCGGTAATGATCTTTAACGAGATGAATGTTTCGCGTGACTGGGAGAATTAGCGCAAACGCCATCGTCTGCTAACTCAATGTTTCGTGTGCACGTGTTGACATATCAGGCCCTGCTGAAGATCGACTGCCAGGGTCTGGTGGCACGCCTCCTGCAGGACTTTGTGCTGCTCACCACAGCGGTCGAGGCCGGGACCCGTTGGAGGGAGCTCGCTGAAAAACTCTCCAAGGTGACGCGGCAGCAGATGGACGCCTTTGAGGTCCCTCACCGCGACAAGAATGGAGAAATTGACGATGAGGCAAGTACGCTTGCCCACGGCACATTCATCGTATGTATGTTGAACTTCTTTCGCACCGTTCGAAGTCAACCGTGCTGATAGGAGGTGCAGGGGAAGGACAACAAACTAAACACAAAAAGTAGGTTTAAAGAAATGAATTCTCAATGTATTACTGCAAATGATGCACAAAATCACTACACGCCTATTTTCTCTCATAGTGTTAACAGCTCTACCTTGAAATGTACAAAACAACACATCTGAATATGTGAGCAATGTGGCAAGCTGACAGTTAATGTTTAGCAGGAAATAATCTACAATCTCTGGTGAATTAATAAGACATTGTACTTGTTCCACTCTCCAAGAACCTCTTGAATTTCTGAAAGACGTGTATTCTAGCATCTGTATTGGCGCTAACCAGTGTGTGTGTGTGTGTATTAATTGTGCATCTGTCTTGGTGGTTAGACCATGTGGAAGCCAGCGTACGCGTTCCTGCTGACGTGGAGCGCGAGGCTGGGCGACAGCTACAGGGACGTGGTGCAGGAGCTGCACGCCGCACTGGAGAAGATGAGGAACCCCATCATCAAGCAGTGGCGACACCTCACCGGCACCCTCCTCCTCATACACACGATGGACATCCTTCGCGGGGCCGCCTTCAGCTCCCCGAGTTTGGAGGACAGCATGACCTGATGCGTCAGTGCGTGAGCCGGCATCACGCAATTTGGCCTGCTTTTTGAGGGTCGCAGTGGTGAAAAGTGAGGGTTTTTTAAATTGTATTTTATTCCATAAGAACAGAATACTGTGGAGTGGTTGTGTTAACATGTGGTGACTTTGAGGCTGGTTAGCCGGGACCAAAAAACATGTGGGATCATGTACTGTGGCAGTCCAGATTAACGTGTTTGCAAAAATCAATGAGAATCTCTAAGACTATATATTTTTACTTACATATACCCATACAAGTACAAAGGCTTACACGTAGTAGCTGTAATCGTTTTAATATTGCATATCTTAGTGCTATTTTTCTATTCATAATTTTTTTTTTACTTTTGCTTTTGTATGGACTTTGGCAATATTGTTTTAAAAATATCAAATGTGTTGAAAGGTTGACACAATTGAATGTTCTTTTAATTATAACTACTGTATTTGACTACTTGTAGCAAGGTTTTCTCTTGTAACGATTGTCACTTCATTGTAACATTTATCGATTTTTAACATTGACATATTAACATGAATTGTGATCAAAAGTGTAAATATGTATCAATTACTCATGTTTAGAAAAACAACTCTTCACAGGTGTAACATTAAGGTAATATAACACCTGGAGAGGAATCAAGTGGTCATTGCAATGCATAATTGCATTGTCCTGCATTTGTCAAAAGGAACTCCCTCTTTGCCCGAAGCACAACTGGATTGACTCTTTGCTAAAATTTAACTAGTTTTGTGCTAATGTGTTAAATAGATTTGCAGAACTCTCAGTGCCAGCTATTTCAGGCCAATAATAATGTGTAAGGTTATCCGGTTATATGGACAGGCTCTTTTTCTGTGCAGTGCTGCTATATTGTTAGTGTTAAATGTGGATGTATTGCAATGTAGGTACGAAAATATATGGATCTAAAAAACATAACAAACCTGATACAGGAGCTATTTTTCCTTGTCTTCTAAAACCAAATTTACCAGTTACAAATTCTGCAATTTTACCCAGAGCTAGACATGACTGCATTTTAATAGAAACAGTTATTTATTATTATTTTTAACTCTTGAAATAGATTTTTATTCTTGCCAGTTTGTATATATATTTTTTAGTATTTTAAAATAAATATTTGTACATAACAGTGGCCTTGAGAGTGATTATAGAAGCAACGGAAAAAACGATATATTTAGCCTGCTGTAATTGTACATTCCTGTGAAATTTGGGGTATGTTGTACAAGCTTACAGGGTACAACATAAGGTAATATTGTTTGAATTGTTGGAGCGACAGCTGGCTCATATATTTGACCAAGTTGTATGCTCATAAAATAGGTCAGATATAACCCTTGAACATCGAGCTATAGATAATTGCATGCTCACATCAGAAATCTGTAGAATTAGCATGCGTCCTATATAGTAGAAACACTGCGAGTAAATGTTTTAATTATGTATGCTACACATCAAAAGTATAGTCTAATTGTTTGCTAAGGTGTGGATTTTATCTATTTTCACATTTCTCCACCTATTGCTCGAGTTTTACCCGAAGCATTGCCTCTTGTGAAAGATAAGTGCCAATTGTGGTGAACGTAATAAAGAATTAAAGCTTTCGTGACTGCATAAATGACTCATTGTTTTTTTTCGGTAAAGTCACGTATGTAGAAATACCAAAGCCAGTCGGCCAACGACAAAGTCGTTGGCCGACTGGCTTTGCATCACTTAACATATTTCTTAGGTTTGTTGAATTCTCGTCTCTCATCTTGTTGTTGTATTTACCTCCGTGCGGTTTAACGCCCTCTGTGTGTTGCGTTGATGTCACCCTATGTGCTATTTTTTTTTACACCTGATGAAGATCGCTTGTGTTGCGGTCAAAACGTCGTGATTGATTTATTTTAATATAATGTTATGGTATTTCTACATACGTGACTTTACCGAAAAAAACAATGTGGTGAACGTGTTAGTGTTTTTTTATCACGTGCATTTTCTCGTGGAACAGCTTGAACCAGCTTCTGCTGGGGATTCAAATATACTGTGCTCTGTGTAATACAATTCTGTCTAAACTCGGTAATCAAGATTTGTCTCAACTCGTATTCAATAAAGGCACTATTAACAGTGAGATGACGAGTAATATTCATTGTTTTGCAACTATTTATCCTTGCGAATTGACTTGGTCCTAGACTGACGAATATAGTATTTTTAGTTATAGTGCTTTTAGTTGTTTGGTTTTTAAGGTGAATTTATAGTAATTGCAAGAGAGGGTAAAGCCTATTGTTATTTCATCACTTTGATAATGGCAAAAAAGGTCCCCATAGTAATTTAATGTTTGCCTTGTACGTGAGGTTCCATCTTGTGCGTGAATTAGGTGTTTAACTCCTGTAGTACTTTATCCGTCATTTCAGCTTCAGTCCACAATCTTGAGAGCCAAACAACATGTGCTATATTTAGTAGATTTTCAAAGCACCGACAAGTATTTTCTTTTTAATGAGTACATATGAAGCAAATTGTACTTGGCAGTTTTTTTGCTTGACTTTTTATTTCAACCGAGTGAACTTATGATCACGAATGCATTCGATCCAATGAATACTTTATTGATTTGATCGTGTGAATATTTTTGAAAAACACAGTAATGTGTCATGCTCAAGGTTGTGTGTAAGCTCAGTTATATGAATGTTGTTGGACTTAAAATTAAAGCATTGTATCAGTAAGTGCAAGAAAATGTTATGAAAATGCATGTGTGTCCCTGCCTATAATAAATTAAGTACTGCACATGGGTCGGTGCCACAGGCAATCTAGCAATGTATATTTTGTGTACATCTTTAATAGTATAATGAAATAATACTACTTTCACTTTATATAGCATCATTCATGTTAAGAGCATCCCACAATGGTGTACATTAATTATATATAAGGACCAAATCCCATATATAGCCACATCCAAGCAAATTAAAACCCTACTACCAAATGCATTTCATAAGATAGGAAAGAAAGCATTGATCTTTACAGAATTATACCTAATACTTTAATTTCCTAGCACACAGTTGAATTTACAAAATCTTTTTAAATAGCAATATACAAATTATTTGGCTCTCTCGGTAAAGTCACATGGATAGGTTCAAAGAAAATAACAAAAAAAATCACAAATAGCAATATACAACTCAAGCTTTTCTTGTACTGGCATTTACAATCCCAGTGCTGTACATGTGATTCCGTGTTTACAAAAAAAATCAATACCTTTCATCCTTTCAAAAGCAGAATGCTGAATGTACATATCTGAATCAGTGTTTATTTAGTTAAGTAAAATACACAATCGTTTTTTTATTCACCAGCACACAAATAATGTTTAACTATAACATCACAAATGTAGTGCAGATACTGTATTTTAATTAATTCAATGTCAATTCAAAGATCATAGCCGATCTGAGCACATTGACGTTAATATTTGTAATATTTTTCTTACTTTTCCTGTGACCAGTAGTATACTTGATTAAATGTTGAGCTATAATATATCTGATTGTTTTCACTGAAATGGATTGTATTGGTCATTAATTAAAGTGCACATTTACCAAGATCATGGTCAGTTGCATATTTGTGTTGTTTTCGTCAATGCAAGGTCATTGCTGTTTTTCTACTTTTTAAGCTTGCCTTGTATTTGTTCTGTTGTGGTTTCATCAGTTGTTCATTGGTGATTTTTGTTTTACTTATTAACTTTCTGTTTGTTAATTTGTTCTCTGGTAATGTTTTAGGTTATAATCACTTGTCTACCATCTGGTTATTACTAATGTATGGGTGTGCTTTAAGTATGCTTTTTTATTCATAAGGTGTACATAAGTACTTTTGGAGGTATATATTTTTTTTCATTCAGGAAGCTATGAGGTTGCTATTTTAAACCAAATTAGACTGGCATTCATGATTTTTTTCTGTTATGTATTATAGAGTTTAACATCAAACTAGAATCCATATATAACTCTCGTAATTTAACAGCATTGGTGAAAGTAAGCCTGACTACTGATGAGAAACTGATTGTCAAAACCGGTCCAGAGTTTGCTTGTGGCTGATGGAATGTGTAAAAAAAACAATTTATTTGGAGAGAAAGGTGCCTCAGCCCAACCCTACAAGGGATAAAATATAAAATATACCATTTTATCCCTTCCATCGCTTTTGTTTTATACATTTTCTCTCTCCTGTCTCGCTACGAAGCACTTTCCCAAACCTTCCAGCTGACCTCTTTCCCGACTTCCCATCCCTGTTGCTGCTCATCACCAACACCTCCTCGCATCTGCTCATCCCACATTATTGGATTTTGACTCGACCGGCCTTTTGGCTCCTGTGCCTCATTGGCCATAGGCCACTGTGGCCTCAACCCTCTTCCTGGTTCGTGTTACCTCAACCTCTGCTGGCCTCAGCTTACCCTGAGGACCCCCATAGGCACCTGGATCTCAATTGCCACCACCTGTTTCTGTTATTTCCACATGCCCTTTTTCTTGCTCTGAATCCGGTCAGTCTGCTTCCTGCCCAGTACTTGTTGGCCTCTGGTCACGCCTTCTCTGCCATACAATACGATAAGAAAACAATTTGGTTTTTGTACAGCATCTAAATTCGACCACATTTAAAGGCACTGTGCAGACAATGGGATTTTACTTTTGAAAGAGGCAGTCAGTCATAGGTAAAGTTAAATAATAATGGTATTTCAGACATGGTGGCAGCAGAGGAGAATGAGTGACCTCCCGCCGAGCGACGGTTGACTCCGGTATTCGACAAATACGTTGTTTCTCAAAGATACCGTGTGGAGGGGATTAGAACAAGATGGCAGCAGAGAGGTATTCAGGGACAAATCCATGGATGACCTTGATGGTGAGTGATCTTGAAATTGATCCCAGATTGGATTATTGGTATGATTTGGTTTCGTTTATAGGTGTGGGTGTGAAGTCTCCCATGCATTACCATTCCTCACCCTGTCCCCTATCCAGGGGCTTGAAATGTAGTAGAATGCACATAAAATTAAAACAATATCACTTTAATGTGTAATTGTACATTGTATGTGTGCATTATAATGTGCACCTTGTAATCACTATTGTCACTACACGGTTATAAGTTAATCATCTAGTTAAACACTTGGTCATAATTAATTGTAAGGCTTTGATCTGTTGGTAGTTTGGAATGTGGCAGTGCTATGCCTATTTCATAAAATATAGGAACGAGTTTTACGGAGGAAAAAAAACGCATAATAGACTGAAGGCCATGCCGTTAAAAAAAGTCTGAAAGCATTGCCTGTAATTGTGCGAGTACTCTAAATAATGATGGTGGGAAGAAAGCGGGAGTCTTTTATGTGCCCCTGAATCCTGAATGTAGGTGAATCGTGAACCATTTTGCACTTTATTGGAAACCTGGGGCCTGTCTAGTCATGTAAAGCAGTAACACATTAATATGTTTAATTCACATCAAAATAACCCAGGTCGCCCTAACTAAACAGGCAATTTTTCATGTGTCTCAATGGGTTTATAAAATCACATGGTTAAATAAAGGACAGTGACTAACTGACTTGCAGACATGTTTGGATGTGCTACGTGCACACGATTTGCAGGCACTTTTATTGGTAGGAATATAGCTTTTTTAACGAATAAGTTCTGTCGACAGATTATTTACCGTTGAAGTTACCTACGTAGTTATGCGCATCCTCTAAATTTATTTAGATGCTGCCCTGCATCAAGCACTGAAGTGAGCAAAGTGTGATGGGTACACACGCTGGAAATGGCTTTGCCGGTGTACGGCAGTCACGTGGTGTTCGCAGAAAGGGTGAATTTCTTGGGATACTTTGAGCACAATTTTTACCTGCCATATTTCCGCTACGTATTGAGTTGACTTGATTTGCCCATTGTAAGAACCGCCTGCATATATTTGGGCTAATCAACGAACTTAAAGAATGATTGAGTCCACATTTATGTCTAGCCACTGGGTAAATGATTTGTACACCCGGCCAATACACACAAAAAAGTAATTCATTGGGACCTGTCTGCAGAAAATGGCATTCACTATCTTTCTGTGACTCACTGCAAATGTAGCCACAAAAAGCCAAACAGGTTTGCATGCAAAACAGCTTTCTGACGCCACCATCCAGCATACGAGCTGTAAACACGTGTTCTCACAATAGGCGTTGCACCAGACAGCACACACTGTGGGTGGGAAGTCTTTATAGCCCTGTCTTAAAAGCCACTGTAGTGTATACCTCAAGGAAAAGGGAAATACACACTTCACTTCCACAACGTATGGCTCTTAAGTAGAATGAAATACGACACCCATAATTTAAAGTTGTTTAAGGGTTCGTCAATACGGTACATGGCACCCTGAGACGAAGGAGCTGCATTTGTGTGCCTAGAGGAGTGGTGTCGTGTGGCAAGTATAAACATTGTCGAATATTTATTGCATAACTCGGGGTATCATGCCAAATTACACAACCATTGTGGTTAAATGCCATGTACTGTAGTACATACATATGTGGTAATCGTATTTTGAGATGAAGCAATCAGCCCCTGTAGTATTGCGAGATGCAGTGCTGGTGGCATGGTTTGGTTTTTCAGACAACCTGCTCTTCATATGTATAAAAAAAGCATTACACAATCGCACATGTAATTCGGGAAGGTGTAAGATTCGAGGAATGACCTTATAGCCCCCTGTTAATTATCATTCACAGTCGAGCGCTTATGTCACAATGCGTTGCTTGAATATGAAAACAAAATACAGTACTGTATGTACATGTCTCTCACATTTTCATGTTCTTGGTTGTAATGAATGGACGGCACCCGAATCACTTTAAATACAGTCATGTTTAATAATATATATAATCTGTTTAATCACTGTTAATTCTTCCACGTTAAATGTGATCAAACTGGTTTTGTACGTGGGAACAGTGGGCTTCAGGTATTGGTATAGAATCAGAATATTTATTTATAGGTACCGGAGGAATCCGAAGAGCTATAAAGCCTTTCTTCAAAGATGTCCAGTAGTCTTGAGTGCAATGTTGCATTTAACACCCCGCACTTTAGGAAGAGGGCCTGATCTTTAGAGAATAACTTTTATGATTCAGTATTTTATGGCTGAACCATATCTCAGTTTTTAGTTGAAGTGCCACAAAAAATAATGTACAGGAAATTGGCCTTGGTAAAAATGAAATTGTGATCTCAAACACTCTACGTCAAATTATGTTGCTGTCTGTAACCGCATTTTATTACCACTATTATTCATTTTAAAATTGCCACAAAGAGACACTTTTAAAATTAATACGAATAACAAAATGCTCTACTACAGTATCCACGTTAAACGTCTGGATTAACCACAACTACTTGAAACGCAATTTTAATCAACATCTTATTGTTTTTCATTTTAGTTCTGGGTGATTCAATTAGTTTGCCCCAGCAGAAAGGGACCATATCACTGAAGTGATGTGTTGAAAAACCATAACATTTAAACCATATCACAGAGTTAAACTAAACATATGTATATACCTGTATGATATATAAGCCAGCAAGCATTTTTTAAAAATACATGGACCTCTCTGCTTATGAACGAGTTAGGTTCCAGAGGCCTGTTCGTAAGTCGATTTGTTCGGAAGTCCAACTTTACTCCTGATGATTACAAATATGTTGTGCGGCATGTACACTAAACACGGGGAATGGCTTTAAGAGTTGTATAATCGCCTGTAGATGTAGATGGCACTGGTTCTTCATGTTCTCCAGATGTAGATGCCACAACCGCCATTTATTGCGCGGCGGTTGAACTTACGACTCTTGGTCCGAACAGGAAACTGGACATACAGACATGTCTGTTCGTATTTATGAGAGTTCGTAAGTCGAATGTTCGTAAGTAGAGGATTCCATTTTATATTATGATATGATGTGGACGGTTAGGCGCAGTTGATGGGCCCGTCTGGATCACACACGTGACGCCACCTTCATATCAACAGTTTGCACATAACACCGTGCAGACTAAGATCATTGCTTGCCATTCAGATGACACATCTCGTTATACAATTGGTGCTAAAAAAAACCATAGCGTTAATAAATTGCGTTGTAATTTCGCATAGTACATCGGAAATGACGAAATGTGCAGTGGACACCTACGGGCTATTTGCCCATGGATCGTGATGATGATGATATAGTAAATACACAACACTGTTCTGCTTTTAATAATTATAGTAACGATGTGGTATGCTTAGAAACACCTGTCCCGTTTGTTTTCGTTGAACTTTACACGGTTCCAAACACCGCGGTGGCTTTGGTTTGTGCCATATTCGTACATCCTGAGGAAGGAAAAAAAACATCCACAAAGCATCATTATCTCCGTAACCTTTTGGCTTTATGCAGTGTGAGCCAACCACTGCAGGTTTGGGGTGTGGGGCTTTGAAGAGCCCTACTATGCACGGCACAGTGAGTCAGTGTTGTTTTCACGTGACAGAAGACTTTTAGGCGGCCCCCTGTTTACGAAATACGGAGGCAGAATTCAGTTTGTTCAGCAGGCCGGGGAGATCCCCGTTAAAGTAAACCGCCAGTACAGTTCTCGGGGAGGATTGGAAAT